CCAGTCCGGTCCGTTCCACCAAAGTAAGCCAGCGACTAACGTAGGAGGTGTCACTCCTCTGGTCAACAGGTCTGCAGGGTTTTCGCTGCTCGGACAGTGCCCCCATTGTACAGGGTCGTGAGTTGCTGAATTTCCGCCACGAGGTTTGCCACGAAAGGCTTCCATCTCAGAGCAGACCCCTTGACCCAGTGCATGGCGATGTTCAAATCAGTCCTTAGGTATGCGGCTTGTATGGATATGTTCAGCGTGTTCATGAGGTAACGATGCAACCTTGCCGCTATCAAGGCTCCCATTAGTTCGAGCCTTGGAAGGGTCAGCTTCTTCAGAGGAGCAACTCTTGATTTAGACATCAGAAGTGCAATCGTTACGTTTCTTCCGATTTCTGTCCTAAGGTAGGCCACTGCCCCGGAGGCCTTGGGACTAGCATCTCCGAACAAGTGAAGTTGGACAGTCGTGTCATCGCTCCTTTGACTCAGGTTCGCGTGTTTTCGAGGAATCGACACTTTTGAAGCGCAGGAAGTTGGGAACACCAGTCCGACCACTCATCAGCAATGTCGTTTGGAAGACATTCGTCCCATTCCAATACCAACTCCTATAGTCTCTGAAACAATAGCCTCACCGTAACGACTACGGGAGCGATCACTCTGAGAGGATAATATATCCGGGCTGACTTTGGCAGAAGGCTGCGTTTAGTGACCTTTCTCTTGTCCATTAACTTGAGTACGTCTTTCAGGTTTATAGCTAGCCGATCATCTTTCCGGTTTCCTAGCAGGCTGAGAATCTTTACGTTTTTTATGTTGTCACCAGCGGCTGGTGTCCCCTCCTTTTCTGCGTTTGAAGTGAAAACTCGCTGCAGGTCGTCGTCGTATCTGTTCCACTTGCAGAGTCTCATGCGCGCTCTGGTCATGATGTTGAAGGCTTCTTCGTAAAGTGCCCGTGCTTGCTCATTTCTTTCTGCACCTGTGAGCAGGTCATTGACATACAGATACGCAGCAATGATTTCCGAGGTCTTTGGATATGATTCTTTGACACTATCCAAATGATGTCGAATTGTTGCTGCAAGCAGAAAGGGACTGCACGAGGCTGCAAAGGGTACTCTCGTCAGTCTGCTCGTCTCCAGCAGGTTGAGTGAAATATCACCCTTAGGAATGTCTCTGAACCAGAGAAAGCGAGGAGCGTCTCTGTCCTCCGGAACGAGAGACACCTGTAGAAACGCCTTCTCTATGTCGGCACTAAGAGCGATATTATGAACACGAAAGTTCAATAACACTTGGAGGAATCCTGGGTTCAAGTTGGGTCCAGTGTGCAGGTGATTATTGAGCGAGGCACAGGTGATTATTGAGCGAGGATCCGTTGAGGCGTTCGGTAAGCATTGCGTCGTTCTGTATTCGTTGAGGTGATCTCGTTTCACACTTCCTTCTCTTCCTCCTGCTCTTTCGTTTTTCTCGTGATCTAGCATGTCCTTTTCATCGTTTTCACTCAAGCAGAAAGTCCTAATCAAATTATTTTACAAGCTCAATGATCGTTGAAACGGCCACTGTAACAGGGGTATAACAGGGTTTCAGCTTACCAGACAAATTACACTACTTCCTAGGACTGGTCATTTTGCACGAACATTAAATTGCCTGTTAAGATTAATTTCTTATCTTGATATGCAGTGTTTTTTTTTTTTTAAAGCCGCGTAAACGCGACTGCTTATTTAAGGTACATTTACACTGGCGTTAAAATTGCAACCGCGAAATGAATCAGCTCGTTTTCTTTGTTAACCCCTCGAGAAATGTTATCGGATGTCAAGGAACCGCATTCGTGACCGCTTTGCCGACCGAGTTCAACCCCTAGTAAGAATTCGGCATAAGGGCGGAGTAACAACAGTATTCTCGGAATGCTTCAATTCAATTTTTTTTTGTTGTAAACCATTAACTTTTTCTATGATTTTACTCACTTTAATGCTCATCTAGGGTTCCTATGTGGTAGTCACTCAGAAGTAATTTATTTTTTCTTAAGCTAAAGAATTCCCATAGAATTGCAACTCTCTCGTAGGGTTTGTTTAACATGGAGCGAGTGATTACAAGAGGTTGAAGTTAAAATGAACGCACTGGCAGATGTGTGTGTAGTTATGTGCTCTTTACAAGTTCCGCCGCTTGAGGGCCTCTGAAGTACTCGACAGCACGACTGAGGTTGGCTCCCTTAAATTGGCAGGTGGCCCTCCACCTAGATCAAAAGCAATAACTCCGAAGGCAACGCCTAAGAATACAACAACAAAAACGGCAGTGACAACAACAACAACAACAATAAGAATGACTACGTCAACGACAACGGCAGTGACAACAACAACAACAACAACAACAATAAGAACGACTACACCAACGACAGTGACAACAACAACAACAATAAGAACGACTACAACAACACCACTTCCTTGTAAGTATCAGAGACATCCGCTTCTTTTCTGCGAAAATGACTATCGTTGAGCGACTGGCATGACTCTAAATGGGCGATGTTTTCAGTCATTAACACTAATGCCGCTCAAGTTTCCCGCACCGCTGGAGAGTGCCATGTCTTCTCGTACACGCCGAGAAAGTGAAGGAGAGGAGAAGACGAGAGCGCGGCCGGATGTCAGAACACCGAGCTTTGATTGGAGGGATTAGTGGGTAGGCCTGATGCTGGCTGCCCTTTCCTCCACTGCACTTGTCGCACAGGGTAGAACGCGGAACGCCGGCATCCGGCGTTTGATTTTGGCATTCGGACACGTTCGACGAGTACAGTGAAGATTTAATTCCACCCTCAACTTCCAATGAGAGATCGGTTTTCGGACGTTCCCCCCGTGCCTCTCTTATCCTCATCTCCCTCACTTGCTCGACGCACAGTCCAGCGTACGGGGGAGCGCTGCAGACGCTACAAGTCAAGCGATCCAGCGCTGTGACTCAATCGCGTGACTACACTTCCCTTAAGCATCACTGCGTCGCTACCGAAAGTCACGTGACCCTCGGGCGACATTGATTTGACTTTGACGGCACACATCGCCCACTAAGGTGCGTCGTAACGTGAAACATTGAATTGCAGATGGCGCTGCTACACGGACAGATAAAATGGTTTGAGAGGTGCAGCGAAGACCGTTTTGGTGGACGTTTATGTTCCCCGTTTCGCACCCAAATGCCCCGCCCCTCAACTGAGCTGGCGGTTAATTCATTCGGATGCTAATAGAATATATCCTAAAACTCATCAAAACAGGGAAATGCTGCATATAAAAAAACATGTTGCTTAATATGAGTAACTCAAATTCTCAACTGACCCATGACACTCTATACTGCATCTCATGAGTTGCGTGCACTAGAGGCGAAAGCACAGGCGCGAGGGCCTGGCTTTCATATTAGAGCGCAGCTCTTAAGGCGCGTTCCCACCGGCGATGCGATCTAGTCGCGCGATAACTTTCGTCGCAAAAGCGACCATCGCGGGCAAAAAGCGACGCGATTTGAGCAGTCGCTACTCGACCCGACTTTTTTGCGATGCGATCTACTCGCGGAGCGGCTGAGCCAATCAACGGCGTTCGGAGCGAGAGTTTTCCAGAAACGACTCGCCAACGAAGGCGTTGAACTCGCTCATCGCGCACACCGGTGTGACCATCTAACTTTTCTTGCGATGCGATCTAGTCGCATCGCGCGACTGCTTACATCGCCGGTGGGAATGCGCCTTTAAGCGCCCGTTTCCGGCTTGAGTGGCGTCGGCGTCGGCGTCGGCGTAACCGCACGGTCACGTGACCCCCCCAAGGTCACGTGACCCCGAGGTCACCTGATCCCCCAGGTCACGTGACCCCCTAGGCCTCGTGACCCCCCCCCCTCCGAGGTCACGTGACCCAGGTCACGTGGGCCCCCCGGTCACGTGACTCCCCAGGTCACGTGACCCCCGGCCACGTGACCTCCCTCCGAGGTCACATGGCCTCCCAGGTCCCGTGCCCCCCCCCCCCCCCCCTCCGCGTCTTTCCCCCCTCCTCAAGAGCTGTGCTCTAATTCGGCGTTACAGGAAGTTGTAAACGGCTTTCATTTTTTGCTTTCTTATCACGAGCACTCGCGAAACGAAAGCACATCTGAAAACCACGTGCCCGCGCCAATGCCTTTGTCTTTGCTACACCACGGCCGGACTGGAAGCGCGCGCTCTCTTTTTCTTCTTACGGCCTTACCAATTAGGGCAATCACCACCTCCCGCCGCAATTCGCGGGGGGCGCTGTCACCTAGGCTACCCTTTGCCGTTTGCACAGCACAGGTCTGATAGTGTATCTCAACGCTGTCGCAACTTGCGGCCGAGATTTTTATAGCCTTTGACACCTGATCCTTACGTTTAGACCCTCAGCCATATCTACAGCGCTTCTGATGAGCCCAAAACGGTGAATATTTGACGCACATCTCCCAGAGATTCGGGAGTAAAAAGCAGTAAGTAGAGACAGCGATTGCAATTGCGGAAAAACTATACATGTCTTTACCTCCAGGACGTCTGTTGCAATCTCGTGAAATGTAAGCAGGCCCAATCTACCTATTGCCGTGGTCTGCATCATTGTTTCATAGGCCGCACATGAGGTCGGTCATCTGCTCTAGACGAGCGTGTAGTAGTCTATACAATTTTCGCGCAGTGCATACTACCGCTTAAAGTGCTTCCTCGAGGGCTTGTGCCCATATCCAGCTGATTTTTTGTCACAGGGTAACGGAGTTTGCTGATGACACAGCCTGTCGGTAGAGTGACTTAAATCGAAGCGAAGTTCAACAAACAGTTGCCAAAACAGCAACCTACGAAGCTCGAACACCAGCGCAAAGCAGCTCGAAGGGACTCTCCCAGTGGGGTGAACTGGGGTGAGGTGGTTGCGCCCTGCCGGCAAGCAAGTGAATTACCTACGGAGAAAAAATGCCATTGACTCCCGGGCGATTGCATAGGCCGCAAGAAGAGAAAGAGAGCGCGCGCTTCCAGTCCGGTCGTGGCTACACACAACTCGTGAGATAGGTTATAGAAACATGGCAGGTCGTTTTAGTCTCAAGGACTACGTGGTCTTCCTGGAAAGCCTTTGCGAATAGTGCCGTACCCGAAAATACGTGTCTGACATACTTTCTCGGAAACACGAATGATATTTTAATTGTCCGCGTTTAAGCATTTTCTTCTAATCTTTCCAATATTTTTGTGATTCTCTTCTCCTTCACGAGGTTGGAAAGCAGCACTTCGACGCATGTTCACATCCTTCGTTTTTATATTGCATTTGGGAATAATCGGATATCTGAGCATGTACGCGACAAGCACAATTATCTGTGCCAATATATTTGGTTTTTGTCTTGCAGTTTATGCTTCTTAAATCTGCAATTTATTAGGGTATAACCAAGCATGATATTAGTTTTCCAGAATATGCGTCTTCTGACACTGGACTAGGGCACTGCACTGGCCCGGGCCAGCCCAAAGACCCGAGACCGGCCCGGTCCGCGGGCAGGGCTCGGCCCGGGTAGTATGCAATTTCTCGGGCCCGGGCCGAGTTGGGGCTTGAGCAAAACATTTTTTTGGGCCGTGCCTGAGCGGTTGTGTGTCACAAATTCAAAATTGTTGATAACAAAAAGTGTGCTCCTTGGTCTTTTAGTTTCATTGTAAACAAGCAAGCCAAGCGCAAAATCACTACGGCGCCGCAAAAGACAAAAAAAAAATAAAAAATACAAAACGTTTTGCTTTCGGAAAACCTTCAAGTATGTAAAAGAAAACGTATGAAAACGTAAACCAGCATAGTGGGAGAGTGCGCGCTTTATGCTTAGATAGTTTTTGTGTTAAAGCCTGCAAACGTGTTCGGGCTCATGTTTATAATCTGTCAAGCTCGGACCCGGCTCAGGCTCATATTTAAACAAAAAATGGCCGGGCTCCGGCCGGGCCTGGGCCATGTCTCTACCTGGCCGGGCCTAAGAATTCCGGCCCGTGCATTGGTCTAGATTAAACTGCCAAACAAGTACCAGAGTCAGGCTTCACTACTTCGTTTTGCGGTTGTCGCCTAGCTCCTTTGGGCCAGTGTTGCCTAAGAAACGGCAACACTGGCTGTTTTCTTTTCGCTCTTTAGCTTTGAGCCTACATTGTTATACAAGTGCCTGAATTAGGCTTTCCTGCGGCTGCTTCGGTTGATACGCAGCATCTTTGGCTCATCTCTGGCACTTTGGTGATTATGTGGCGAATCGGGGAGGAGCCATAGGAAAGCCTAAGTACTATGTCACTAACTGATGCATAGAAGCACTTAGGCCCATAGGACTGCACAATTAGGGCCACGTAAGGTGGGGTCCTAGTTTAAAAAGTGACCCGCTCATTCACTTTGGTTCGTAATACAGCATTTTCTTTTGCAGGGACGCTGCCGAATAAGACGATTATATGTACTTTTGGGGCTCGATTCAAAACAACTGCAGCGCGGCCCGAGGAAGGCCTCTGCGACATCATTTTCTTGGACTACTTCTACAGATCTGATAGGGGCACCTTTCTCAACCGCAGCTCGGCCGGGTTGAAGTGGTTTCTGGAATTTGCCCGGAACGCCAACGGAACCACCCAATTCGGAATAGGAATTGACCACGGGTATTATTCTTACTTCACATGCGTACCAGGGATATTCGTGGGTGCAGGTTTCTAGCCAGCATAGGTTTAACTCGTTGTTTCGAACTATTTTTCCAACGTGAAACGTTCTTTTGATAGGTTCTCCGTATTTCGTCAAGCCGCATTCCATAAAGCCGTGACCTCTAACATCCCATAATTCAACGCGCGAAGTGTTTCTTTATGGGTGATCACAAACCTACACGCCAATTCAGATTTCAGTTTCTCGAAATGCTAATGTTTAAAGGGATACTGGATCGAAATTTGGACTTCACAAAGTAAGGCCGCAGAAGTGTTGAACGGGACGCTACAACTCCAAAACATCACTCGTACATCAATATCTCGAACGGATGGCCATACTTTTGGAAAAGACGGGCGCTATCAAGCGAGTTCTTTGACGTAACTGTCCTCCGGGAGAACTTGAGTATAAGGAGAAGCGGCCTCCCTTCTCTCCTCCTCGCTTCGGTTCACCAGCTTGACGGGACGTTGCGAGGAGGAGAGAGAATGAGAATCGTGACGTGCCTTCTCTCGTCGGCCTAGTCAGCCAGATTCCAATCGCGCACTTCTTTTCCAAGCAATACGGCGATCTGTTAGATATATGGCCATATGAGTGATATGTTTTATTTTGCAGCTTCCCACCTATCCGCCCGGCCTTGTTTAGTGAGCTCGAAATTTCGGTTCAGTATCCTTTTAAAATGTACAAAGTCTCAGCTCTCTTTTTAGATCAAGGTATGAACTAGTACAGTGACAACAAACAAATTCCATGGGCGGTAACTTTCCCAACTGACAGCCTTATAAAGCTCTCAGCTTTCACCGTCTTGTGACACTAATCCGGCGCTGAGAGGGGTATTCGCACGAGAGATGAATCCCGGGGGTTTCTCCTCGTCATTCGCACCATGCTACAAAAGCGCCCGGTTCTTCCGTTGTGGCGTGTTGACGCTAGCTCCGCGGCGGAAGAAGAAAATCATGCTTTAAGGGTGCAACCAAGTTCGGTTTGGCTGCGGATAAGTTTGTTTTTCATGATAGTTAGCCGTTAAACGCTTCATTGTCCAGTGTGGAAAACGCTAAATTCGTCTGCGGTGGTGTAAAGGCTGGAAACCGCTGAACTTGACTGCAAACGCTGGCATTCCTCCCTTCGCGCGGACCCTGTCGGTGTAAAAAACGGTTAAAGGCCTGACCACACTAGCGGCAACGGCGCCGCCGTCCGGCATCTGGCCTTGGTTTTACGGGCGTTATAGTCACGTGACAGCACTGACTCCCGCGTTCTCGAGGACGCGTGAGAGCCTCCGCCGGATTTCCCGCTCTTTCGTCCTCTGCTCTTTGTCGGATTTTTTCATTTCGGCTCTCATCTTTTGCATATATCAGCATCCAAACCGCACTCGCTGCCTACGTGGTAGGTGTCCTTGATCATCTCGTGATCAACGTGAATGTGATCATTGTAACCTGCTCGTTGATCTTGCGGCTTCGCCGCGCTCTGAAGGGAAGGAGCCGCAGGTTTCGGGTCTGGCCGAGTTGGTGCTACCGAAATGCCGAGAGTCAGGTCAGTGTTTCTCGGCCCCGGTTTCGCGCCAGAGATGAAGGCTATTTTTTAGAGTGACACCGAGTCAACACGACAATCGTCACAACGCACGCGACATGCGACCAGTGCCACGGAGAAACTCACCTGTTATTGCGAATTCATCTTCGATAATATCCCAGCGGTTGTTCTTAACGTCCTTATCTAGGTAGTCCGGCTGCGTATAAATTGTCATAAAAAAATGAAAGACGTTTAATATCTCCTGTAACGCCGAATTAGAGCGCAGCTCTTGAGGAGGAGGAGGAGGGGAAGGTACGGAGAGGAGGCTATTCCCTCATCTTCTCCCGCCCGCCTCCCATTTAGGGAAACTTTCCCGCTAAATTTAAGGAGAAATTGTTTCCGCTAATTTTTGCGGAGAAATTTTCCCGCTAACTTTAGCGGGGAATTTTTTCCGCTAACTTAAACGGGGAAGTTTTCCCGCTAAATTTAGCGGAGAAATTTACCCATAATGACCACGCGGTCACGCCGACGCCGACGCCGAAGGCGACGCCGGTCAAGCCGGAAACGGGCGCCTACACTCTAAAAAAAAAGAGTCGCTATGACTCTCTTTGGGGGGTTTTGGCGCGCCGCAGAATCGACTCCAGTTTGTGGAGACCCTCGACTTTTTTTTTAAGGAGAGTCACCACGACTCTCTGTGGGGGGTCTTTGCGCGCTACAGATTTGACTCCTCCACGACTCCAGTTTGTAGTTACTTGACTCTTATTTAAAAAAAGAGTCCTGCGACTCTCATCACACTGGAGTAATGGTAGCGTATGGGCGACTCCGGGTGACGTAGTCAACTGCGACTCTTTAACGACTCTTACCCAACGGAGAAAGAGAGTCACACGACTCCTTCCCGGTAACCCCGTGACTCTCAAACAAGAGTTGTGAGGACCCTCCTTTTATGAAGAGTCCCCCAACTCCTATCGCAAAAGAGTCATGGGAGTGTATGAGCGACTCTCCAAAAGATAGTCAGTGATGACTCTCACTTTGTCTGGAGTATAGCAGCCCTAGTCGAGTATCAGTTTGTTGAACAAAGGGAAGCATTGTGATCGTTAGGAGATTTCTTGCCGCCTGTGAGGTTCAACTTGAATTTCTCTAAAAGAAGGGTAGTAACATCAACTGTGTGAAAGTATAAAAGTTGTAATGGAAACTTCGATTTCACCTAAAAAAAGCGGTAACATCAATTCTCTGCAAGTGTAAACGTCGAAATGCAGAACTGATATCTTAAGATTTCCTGTAATGTAACATGGAAAAATGAACGATGATGGTCTTAACGACGCTGAACTGAATGCTGCTCTAAAATTTATAATGAAACACAACAGAAGCTTTTAGTACAGCATTGTTTTGTTACATTGGAATTTGCACACAACAGAAAAACGTAAAAGTTTTATTTTAATCGGCAGCTTAATTTCTTTTAGTTTGATTATACTTATCATTTAAAATAGGTTGTATATCTTTTTTATCACATGTCTAGACTATTGGCCAGAGCTGGTGTGAACGAGCATGTTCTGATGCTTTATGCCTGCTTTGAGTGGACAGGTGGGTGGCAATAAATTGCAGGAATCTTCAAATTTAACAATAAATATAGCAGTTTTCTCTCAGCTGATATCACTGCCATTTGTGCAAATGCAACTTCATGAGTCCTACCATGCAGGTACTGCAAAACAAGCCACAAGTATTTAAAACAATTACTTTATTAGAAACTAATGTGATACATATTGGCTCAAAAGCCTGTTTCGGCTTATCACAGTGGTTTTATCACAATAACTAAACAAATAACATCATAAGAAATAATACTAATACACAAAACTGGTATAACTATTAGACAAGAACGAAGATAAATTACAATGACAAGTTTTGTGAAGGCTTGCTTTGCTTGCTTGGTGTTGAGGATTAAATTAGAATAAAAAATGACAAGTTTCCTAAAAGCTTTATTTGCCTACTTGCTGTTTTTTCAAAGCTTTGTTTTTCTTTTTGCAGTTTCTTCTATGGTTTGAATCCTCATATCAACAGATGCACAAAAAAATCTAACAGAAGTTTAGATACACAATAGAACACACAAACCTTTGTATTATAGCTGGAATATTCACCAAATACATATGGAAAATATTAAAACAGTAACCATTATTGGTAATTATTTTTCCCTGCTCTAGGAATGTGCTCCGAGTGTTGTCACAACTTTCACAGCTCTTACCGAAATCTTTGTATTTTTTTACCCATGAGGTGCTCAAGCAGAAAAAGTGTGCTTCGTCAATTCCCCCCCCCCCCCCCCTATGCTCAGTACATGGCTAATACCCGAGAGATTCTTGCTGAAAATTCCAGGATGTCGATTCATAGGTCCTCGCAGACAACGCACATGCTGCCAGATGTCCATGGGTGCTTTCCAGTGAAAAGTAATGCTGGGTTCCCGAAAGTTTTTACTGGGTCCTGAAAAAAAAACGCCATTGATAAGAAATAAGTTCTGGAAGTCAGACGAAGTTTTAGGTGAGCAAAGTAAAAAGTGTCATAGATGGAAAGTCCATGCAGCAGAGTGAAGGCAAGTGAGGCAGACGCCCATTGCTGCCAATCTATATTTCGCTTTCCCCAATTCTCACTTGATTGTGAAGTGTTTCGTACGGTGGAACCGGTGCATCGGGGTGTCAACCAAATTACTGATTTAAAATTCCTTGACTTTTCTGGAATTTCCCTTGACTATTTTTGATAAAAACTTCCTGACCACTTCTGGGTCAAAGGATCATAATTCGGAAACATTATTCAGCATTGTCGTGCCCATGCGCAACCGTCAAGCTTTGTTCCGTATCGCCGTTCCACTTTCAGTGGTCATTTTCCCTGATGAAGCCAACTTTTTGACAATTTCCCTGAGAATTTCAGGTTGGTAGACACCCTGATGATGTATCAGGTTACAGATGGACACCATAAAAATGCAGACTATTGCATTCAAAATTATTTTAGCCATCAGGGGGAACCTAAAATATTCCTATGGAGAGAGATAGAGACTGGAGGGGTTGGGGTGGCTGCTGCAGCTATTGTCTGCTTTTCCTTTCAAAAGAATATCAATTTAAGGCTCAACGGGAACGTAAATAATAAATCAGTAAGTACACTGAGAGCACTTGAAGCACAAGGCGCGTGGTCCCTACTGAGGAAAGAAAGGAGGGTACCAAGTCTACCTGAACCTGTTTTGCAGCACCCTGCCTAAGCTAGGTGCTAGGCAAGACTGGGGCTTAGCTACTGAGACTGTCTAGTACAGTCAAAGAAAGCATTATAAAATTCCTTGCTGGGCAAGCTGCTTCGTGGCTGCAATGAAAAAAAAGAGTACACTAAGACAGGGACAAAGAAGGAAGGGACGACTTTTTTTTCTCAATAAACTAGTTGGTAGTGAGCACTTGTTTCTTCCTTTCTCGTCCCCGTCTTATTGTGCTCCCTTTTT